TGCTCACACCTGCCGTGCTGGGGTTTGCTGAGCTCCAGGAGCCTCGGAGGGAGCAGACAAGGAGCGCCCTTCCCTCAGCTGGTTGTGTGCACGGGGAGCGCAGAAGGGATGCAGGGGCTGGTCCATTTCAGGAGCAGAGCTCAGATGTCCCTGCTCCGTGCCCAGCTCACCCCCTGGCGTGTGGCCGGGACAGCTGCTGGCCCTGGGGACAGCGTGTGAGCCCAGGGACACCAGGCACACACCGTGAGGCAGCCAGGCAGGAGGACAGCCTGGGCTCGCTGCCTCCTTTGGGACAGAGATGGGCAGACACAGCGTGGCTCTGTCACCATTGCACTGATAAATTATTTCTCAGAACTGCTTTCAAGGCCAAATTATGCTGCTTTTGCACCTGTTTTACTAAATGTCTTTTCCTTCTTGTTTCAGTTTGGAGGCATAAAGAGAAATTGAAACACCATCCCCACACAGGAGCTTGATATCAAAGAAATCCTGTGCAGCTGTTCCAGATGAAACAGCAACGTGCTGCTTTGAAAACGTTTATACCAGGCTACAGCTTGAGTAGAGCTAAATGAAATCCTGTTTGTAGCCAGTAATTTAGAGATATTGTCATGTCTATCTATGGGTTTTGAGAAACAAACGCGTGCTTATTTTCTGGACTTTTCTATATAGTGTCCTCTTTATTACAAACAGTTGGGAAAACCTTATGAATTTCTTCTGATGAGAAAAATACTTTTTATAATGGCCTCCTATGAGTAATTGTACTTAGCTGTGATTAGAGGCTACCAGAATGAGATTTTTATTAATGATTTTTCCAGGGGCTAAGCGTTTATATTCACTTAATTGATATTGCCACATTCAAATGGCCATTACCAGGAAGTTACTCAGAGTAAAATAACAATGTTAATACCACCTAGGAATTATAGCTCATCCTCTTAGCATAGTATTGTTGCCATGTAATTAGGGATTCAACTGCTGGCTTGATGACAAAGAGCAATTGCAGAGTTATTAATGGGTTACAGGCTTCTCTGCAGTGGCGTGGCAGAAGCACAGGAACAGGGTCTGGGAGGGCTCCCAGGGTGATCTCCCACCGTGGGGCTGGCACCAGTGCTGGGGCTTGAGATCCTCTGGGCAAGCCTTGGCTGCTTTCCTGTGGGGGAAGTCAAGTAAATCAATCATTACACCCGGCCAAAAAGCAACAAACGAGCACAGAAGTGTGCTGTCTGGAAAGCAGTACACCCTTGGCTGCCCCTGCCAGCAGGACCTGTGCCTCTCCCTGCCCAGCCTGCCCCCAGCCTGAAGCCCCTGCAGTGCCCAGGCCACGGCTGGTGGAGGTTTTTGTCCCCAGCTGCACTTCAGTGCTGCTGCCAGAAATGCCATGTTTTTTATACCTGTCTACAAACTGCTTGGGCTCTTAAGTGATGACCCTCAGGGTAGGGAGTTTTTGCCAGGCCAAGCATTTCATTTGGTGTCACTGTCCTGGAGCAGCAGGGCTGCTGCTTCCCGTGCCACACGGTATTGCCTGGGGGAGCCTGGCCTCGCACAAACGCGGCTTTTTATGCTTTCACAACCTGCTGGGAATGAATCGCTGTCATCTGCTGAAGAGGCATCTCTAAAATTCAGAATAATCTGCTTGTGAGGTTGTGCATCTGCTGATGGCCAGTCCTGCTGCAGCTGGGTCCTTAAGGGATGCACTTGTGCTGCTCTGCTTTTCCAAAAGCACTTTGGCCCCGCATCAGCACCGCCGGCATTCCCGCTTTGGAATCCTCTTGATGGCTCTGGCTGAAGATCAGAAAGTTTTGTCATCTCATGGCCTTTGGCAACCAGGCTCCTGCCAGCAGATCCAGTGTGTGCCCACTCTGCCATCCCATGCCTGCCAGAATATCTCAGCTGGAGCTTTACTTCCTGCAGTGGGTTTGAACCTCTTTTAGATATTTGGTATATCCAGCAAACCTGAGCTATCTGTATTTTGAGCTATTTTCTATTTTGGTGATAAGTTTCAGTGCTTTCTCTACACACAGTATTTTATATAACACAGCTATAAATATAAATATATAAATATATTTACAAGGTTGGGCTGCCCAGGGTAGTCCCACTGATGTGTTGTAGAAATATTTCACTAAATGTGAAATATATTTGATTATTTTATATGCTATGAGTTTGGTATTTTGGTACTTTTTTCTTTCTGTGCATATTACTGTGCTAAATGTCAAATTAAATCTAAATAAAGTTACACCTTTATCACTGTTTATTTGCTTGTGTGCTAGATAGGCTGTTTTTTATTTTGTTTTCAGAGCATGTCTCTGTTAAGAAAAGGGTTTGTTTCATTCTTAGGTGTGTTGGGGCTCTACAGTGCTTTTGGAAATGCTGTTGGGAATTGCCATTGAACCGAGAGAGTGTCAGTTGGGATGAATTAACCAGGGCAGGTTAAATGGCACACAGCACTCGGGCTAACAGGTGAGCACTTGAAATCCCAACCTTCTGTCACCATGGCTCTCCCTCCCAAGGGAGGAATGAGGTCTATGAGATCCTGCTGTTTCCAGGTTTACCCTTAGGACAGCTGTTTAGGTGTTTATGTTGTGTTCAGTTAGCTTGCAGGATGGATATGAGAGTCCTTTGTGAGCTCTGGAAAGCTGGGAAAAGAAAGTGGCCAGCACAAGAGAGGTGAGGAATGAGTGCCACAGCTATGTGACCACAGGCAGAGGTCAGGGTCTTCCCCAAAGCTTTGAGTCTGGATTTAGGGACTTCTAGCTCTGCCAGGATGGCTTTAGGATGCTTCAGCAGTAGTTGAGCTCTGTCTTACTGATGAGAAATTATCCTTTCACCCACTCCAAGTCCCACAGCTACAACCTTTGGTGGAGCAGCAATGCTCCATGCTCAGTGAAATTGGTTCTCCTCAATGACATTTTCTCTGAGCATGGAAAGAAACCAGGTTCCAGCAATAAAATGGAGAAAAAAATGAGAAGAATCAATGTACAGGCAAAAATAATGTCATGCTTCCTGGAGCTGCTACAGGATTCTAGATTTATTCGTGGTGCTAAAGAGCAGAGTCCCAGCACAGGCAAAGAGAAAATCAATGGGCAAAATTCCATCCCTTCTGCACAGTGGGGCTAGCCCTGGAGCTGGGGGCCCTCCAGAGGTGGCTCCTGTGAAGAGGATAAGACAGGACAGCTGCTATGGGAGACATTCACCTCAGTCTAGAGGGATTACAGAACAGGGGAGGTAATATCAGATCTCTGTGCCAAGCACTTGCATGGTCACAGGGCTAAATGGAACAGCAGCTGAGCATTGCAGACCAGCTCCACAAGCCCTGGGTGTGCTCCTGCTCCTCTCCAGCACAGGTGTGTGCCTGTGTCCCGCTGGGAACCTCTCCCTGGCATGGGTATGCAGGAAGGCCTTGTACCCAAGGGAGCTTGGCAGGAATGGGGGCAGAGAAGAGGGCAATGCCTGCAGCCATGTGGGATGAGGAGGACTCAGGAGATAAAGAAACAGCTGTGAGAGGATATTATGAGAAGCCTCTGGGGTGGGAGAGGGTTTTGTTGCATGTTTTATTCAGCTGGTTAATGTCACCATGCTGCACACAAACACCTCACAGGTGAGGCCAAGCACAATCCCCTTCCCAAGCAGCCTCAGGGAAAGTAAGCCAGCTGCTCCTTGGCCAAGGCACTGTCCCTTGTGCTCAGGTGGTCAGCAGAATGTGGTGGGACAGAATGCCTTTGCTCCCTCTAAGACCACATCTTGTCTTTGTTTTGGTCATGCTTAGAGCCAAGCCAAAGCACTCAAAGAAGAAGACATTAAACAGAAGAAGACATTAACTCTGGTGAGCTCATTGCAGAGCTTCAAAAGTGAAACATACGGGATCTTGATTCTTGGGCCCTTGCAATTAAGATGGCCCATGTGGGCAAGGCATCAACACTTGCTGAAAATTTTAGAGACCTGGAGATCTGGTGGAGAATGGCTGTCAGCTCCCAAACCCATGTCTGTACCTCATTGCAAGTGATGCACCTGAGGGCATATGGGCAGGCAGCAGAGGAGGAGCACCCTGGGGCTGCAGAGAGGGGCTCACCCCACAACCCAACCTCCTTCCACCACATTTGCTACTTAACTCCTTCTGGGCTGGCCACTCTGCAGTGGAAAGTCAGTGGCCACTGCCAGGAGCAGCCCTACAGTCATCACTCACTTGCACTTTGGGTCCTGCTGGGATCCACCAACATTTGTTCATCACCAGCAGAGCAGCTGATTAGATGAGAGCTGCTGGGGTGTCTCTTCACAGTTATCTCCAGGGTAATCTGTTATCTAATAGCTCTCCAGGGAGGTCCTTTTTACAGGCCTTTCTATTACTGATGATGAAGTGATGCTCAACATGTTGTGAAAACAAATCTAATTCTTATGTCTCAGAAGCAAATAACTTGATGACTTATTTCTATATAAACATATGCCTTGGGGCTGTATATTGTTGGGTTTATTTTATGGGGCAAACATCAGCTGAGGCCTGTATTGCTTTATCACCTGCTGCTTAATAGATAGAGGTGAAGTATCACGTTTCCATTAACTGAAAGTCTGCTCCTTTTCCTAAACTGAGATTCCTCTTTTTTTCTCTTTTCTATGGGTCCTGCACTGCAGGAGGAGACCACCATGTGAGACCACCATGTGCTGACCACCACCTCCTCCTCTGTTAACAAGCACATGCCTGATGAGAGGCTGCAGGCTCTGGAGATGACACTGCAGGTATCAGTGACATTTCACCAGAGATGGCTTTGCTGCAAAGGCAATTGATTTAATGATTTTGTTACTAGAGCGCTGCTGCAACCACTTCCCCAGGATGAGATCTCATCACTCCCCAAGTGGGTGAGAAGACAGTCGCCAACCTAAAAATGTCGGGAGTTTAGGAACAACAGGAAGGCACGGCAGCAGAGAATTAGCTGGGGAGAAAGCTGTAGGGACTTTCTCTCCTCTTTTTGGCTGCAGTGGGATCGATGGATGAGCGGGGTTTGTGGCTGCCCCCGCAGGGAGACGCGGCTGGATCCTCCAGAAAGGCGCCTGGGCTCGCTCAAGGAGAGCTGATGTAAAGTTATTAAACATACGTTTAATAATATATAAACGTGCTAATTAAACATAAACCCACCCAGAACCCAGACACGGGTGGGGGTCTGCAGAAGGTGGGGAGCTCTTAATGCTGGTTCAGCCTGTGGTACTCACATGCACTCTGAACAGAGAGAGATTTGGCTTTCTCAGATTTCTCCTGTGAGAAGCTGTGAGAGAAGCAGAGAAAAGAATGACCAGAACAATCCTTATCTCATTTGCTGCTCCTGTGTTTGTGCCCGTGTGGAATGTGTTCTGGAGATTGTTTACCCGAGGTGATTGCTTGATTGGATTCTGGTGATGGTTGTTTGGATTCATTGACCAATTAGATCCATGTGTGTGTCAGGACTTTCAGGCAGAGAGTTATGGGTTTGCTAGTTAGTTAGTGATAGTTCTTGTTAGTGTAATATAGTTACAGTATAATATAATATAATAAAGTAATTATTTAGCCTTCTGATATCATGGGGTGCTGTGCATCATTCTTCCTGCCTGCTGGACATCATAACACCGATATCAGCCCCTTACGTCTCCATCTCCTCTCCCTAGACAGTGCCAGTGCCAGCACGGATTTACTGCTCAGCACCTCTCACCTCTCCCTCTCAGAAACCAGGAGAAACAACCTCCTTCCTTCAGTGGAGCTGCTGCAGGGGAGGAAATCACTGCCTTACACCTCGAGGTGCCTCTGGGGTTTCATTGCCAGTGGGGCTGGCCCAGCCCCTGTGCTGTGGTACCCAGCCAGGGCACAGGGACCGTGCTGGGGGAGAGCTGTCCCTGTGCTTTGGTTAGCAAGCATCTCGATGGCAATGCTGGCAGAGGCAGCATTGAAAAATACTGTGTAAGGAAGGAACAATACTGAGATCTGTGACCTCAGTGAGAAAGCCAATATATTTTAAAGTGTTGCTATAAATCTCAGTGCTCTGTTCCTCCACAAACAAAGTCACATGGAGAGATCAGGAGAGTGATCAGGCACTTGACAGATGCAAAACATACTGAGTCATGGAGAACAGGGGCAAAGAGAAACTGTGCAACACCAGACGGCACTGGCTAATAATTTGAAAATAAAAGTGTAATTGGGAGTTAATCACTGGTCTTTCCTAGATCACAAATCAAAAAACCATTTCAAGATCCCTGGGTGGAAGACAAAGCCTAGGATGAATGAGTTGCAGCCCAGTGACCTGGTTTTATCGAGGCCAGTAGAGATCAGGACACATGAAAATGTTCAGGACATTGCCACTAGCCTTTTTGATTGCTGGTGGGGAAATAGAAAACCCACAACTGGGTAAAATGTGGCTTGGAGTTGGAATAACAAAGAAACTGAGCCTCAACAGTGCAGTCATATGAGAATCCAGTGAAGTGGGTCTGCTGTGAGAGGTGCCCTGGGAAGGCTGTTCAGCCTTCTGGTTTGGCAGGCTTAGAGAGGAAATCTGTGGATTTTAAGCTCCTACTCACAGAGATCTTCTCTACTAAAAGCATCGTGATGCTTCTTGGTTTAGACTTCAATGGCATTTTTCAATTGACTTTTAAGGGTAACAGAAGGAGAAATGGGCCCTTGTTCCTTCAGGAGATGACAGTGTATTTTTAAAAACAAATTATGCATGAGGGCTAATTAACTTGGCATTTACAGCTTAGCATTCTCCTGGTTAAATCTGCTCCAACTGAGACCACGTTTTATTGCAAGAAAACTTCTGCCTGGCATTTCCTTCCTTCCTTCCTTCTTTCCTCCTGCTGCTTCGTATGCTGTGACATGAAGGTCATGAGCCACCTTCCAATGTCCTTTTCAGTGACTTCCAGTGAAGATTGAGTGAAGATTTCAGGTTTAGCTGTGAGGGCTGAGACATATCTCAGTGGGGACATCTCTCTCATGGTCCTGGTCAATGCTCTCACAGCTAGAAAGTGCCTACTGGGTTCACCTGTACCTATCCAGAGAGCATCTGGGCACAGTGGCAGCTGCAGAAAAGCTGCTTGGAGAGAGCTCCAGCACAATGAATCCCTGCAGTCTGTACAAAGGGAGCTAATAGGATGCTCTCATTCACAAATTGTGTTAGAAGGCACTGATGACAATGAGCTCACATCAGCTGCTCACCCTGCACTTCCGCTCTCTGCCATCCCAAATCAAGTTAAGGTGATCTCGATGTGCCTCTTATTGCTTCAGGGGAAAAATGTGTCCTG